AATATTTTTTTTTTATCTTATTTATCGATAACAATCTTTGAAATTAAATATTTAGAAGAAAAATTTAACATTTTATGAATTATATTGTTTTAGTAATATAATTTATATTGTAATCTACAAAATGAGGAAGTTGAAAAATAATCGTCTTTTTGTTGAAAATTTTAATTTTTAATTCTCTATTTTATAGAATACTATAAATGTACTCGTACAATGCAGGAAGATACATCTCGATTTTAATATTTTGTTTGATTTCTTTTTGTCTTAATCGATATTATAATACGGTTTTATGTGGTTTTGAGAAAAACGATAATGTTTTTAGTTTTGAATAAAATATAAATATAAAGATATGCCATAAAAAATTGAAAAAAAAAAGTATTGATATTGGTATCAAAATAACTATTTAATTTTTTTTTATTGTGTATTTCTTTAATTCATTTTTTTTATTTTTTATTTAATAATATAAATTTTTATAAAGATAATAATTAAATATTTTTGTTAGAACTCAATAATTATTTTAATTATATTTTAAATTTTTTATATTTAAAATAAGATGTTTATTCTTTATTTGATTATGTTTATCTGCAGTTGGTTACACGAATTCAAACATGAACCTTTAATAAATTGTAATTATGCACAATTTACTTACAATCTTGAATTTTAAATAATATACATCAATAAAGAGTACTTTATGCATAAAAAATAATTTTTAAGAGTTTTTGTAAATATTTTATAATATAGTATAGATGTTAAAGATTTTCTAAGAAAATATATAAATATATACACAAATACACATGGCGTGTATAAAAATGAGAGTTATGATTAGAAAGGTAACAATGAATCTCCATTTTTAGATTAATCATAATTGAAGAATTTTATTAGATTAACACTGATGAAAGTTTAGAACCCATAAGTTAAGGGTTGTTTCATAATTGTTGAATGATTTGGTACATAATGATTAAGTGATCAAAATGATTAAGAGACTCTCATGATATAGTGCAAAACAAAATATAATTGTTTGGTAATTATGTATAATGAAATTAAGACAGGATACAAAATCATTCATTGGATTTTAGAACTATTAAAAAACAGACTTTTTTTACCATACAAGATTCAGCTCTTAACAATTAATAAGGTAAACAAATAACCCCTTATTTAAGATTGAAAACGATGAATGGTCCAGAAGGTCTGAACTTTACTCCTATGTATATGTATATGTATATGTATATGTATATGGGGAATGTGGAGTGATGATGTGAGATAATAAATGAAATCGATTTTGAATGGTTCAAAGTCCAAGGTTCTGATTTTATTAAAAGGGAATTGCATTGCATGGATCGAGTTGTCAATCCAAATGAATCGGTTTGTATTATATTCCCATTCCCATGGCAATCGCCGGCCGGCCGGAACCGGACGGACCCAAGTTCCCATCACAACATTCCATGGTTCCAATGGCATCCAAATCCCCATGAACCATGGAAACACAATAAGATTGGAATCGGACGGTGGATGTGATCTCGATCATCCCAAAGATTTGCATCTAAATCCTACAGTACGGAATGGAAAAGAAATAGGAAAAAAGGGGGGGGCCTATTTATGGTTAGTTTTAACAAAGAATGGAATCTCTGATGCCGTGAGGGACTTGTAATCTCCTGAACCCTTTCCTTTTTCTCGTTAATCCACGTTACCTTTTCCTTTTCCTTTTCCTTTCATCGTTTCACTTCATTTCAACTAAATAAATAGTAAAACCTATAAATAATTTCAATTTTTTATAATTAATTTGGATATTCAACCCGTTATGGAGCCGACTAATCCCAGGACGACCACCTGTTTTGCATATAGTCCGGAATCACCGCATTTGAACATCCATGTCCACAAAGAGATTTTTATTTCTCATTGGATTTGAACCTAGGACCTCCAGGTACTTTTGACCTTTGGAGCCAAGTTCAAACCAATCAGGCATCACCCTTGTGGTTAATAATTTCACTTTTTTTAATTATATTTTCCATATATATATATATACACATGAACAATCGTATGAAAATATGAGTTATGGTGAGAA